CTGTATGGAGAAAAAAAAGTAGAGCATCATTTCAAAGCTCACCGAAAGTTATAGTTCTGTCATCAAAAAACCTTTAAATCAATCATCTTAGCCTCGATCATTATGGTTTGTTATAAAAATTAGGATTTCAAGCCCTAAAAGAATAAATATTTTAACACGTTATCTAGACCATCTATTTTCAAGTGTTCACGGTTCGACAAGATTTGTACCATTATTTTAGTTGCAAATTTCACAATCAATTGTGGAAATAGATTGAATAGAGTGTTCAATTTTTGCAGGTCCAAATCTAAGTATCACAAAACTCGAAACTCAAATTTTTTTCTTTTAAAAATAATCATCTAGTAATTTTTATATTGTTCCCAAAATTTTAGACTAAAAAATTCAACCTAGTTAGGTGTTTTGACCAAGGGAATAGATGCTCAGCATATGCTCCCACAGGAACACAATATATGCCCTCCTTTTTTTGTTGAACTAGGTGTCGAATAATCAAGTCTATTTACTTTTAACTTTCCAATTAATAAAGGGTACAGTTTGTATCGAGCCGAGGTTCTAAACAATCAAAGTAAATCTCATTTTCAAATAACGTTGAGAAATGTGGTTTCAACACTTAAAATATTTTTGATAGCCTTAAAATATATTTTCATCTTTAATTATAAAATTTAAATCTTAAAAAATAGTGTAGATCGAGCATATCTATAAAAAGTTGAAAATCTTGAAAATTGGTGGTCCAAAAATACGATACAAGATGCACTATATCCAAAACTTGAAATCCATTTTCTTCTCACGTCCATGCATCTTTTTTTTTTTTTGGAAATAGGTGAGTATTAATTAATATAAAGAGAAAAACTTCAATAATACAATTACAGAGAGGAAAAATAGGGAAGGAACCCTACTTCAAAGAAAGACCAACCAACACTCTTGAAATACAAACAAATACTAAAACTCAAAGATCCTACTTTATCAAGAAGATTGGAAATCCTGCTGACCACTTGAAGCAAGAAAGCTTGTTCCTTTCTAGTCCTTGAGCCCAAATCTCACCAACGCAATGCCACACCAAAGCACCAACACTACTGTAGAAGTCACACATGTCGGAGTTGGGGCGACACCTAGACGACGCCCAAGATGGCGGTGACAAAAGGAGTCAACAAGACTAGCGACCAAAAGAAAGGTATAATAGATTGAGCAGGAGGGGAGAGGCAGGGAAGAAGAACCAGAGAAAGGGGTAGATGAAGAACCAATATAAGGAGAAAGTGAAAGGGGTCACTAACAATTCATCTAGGGAGCTGTTTAGGTCAGAATTGAAGATCCTACTTTGTTAAAAAAAACAATCCTCTACGACAGGGGAGAAGTTGCCTTCAGTAAGGCCAATCATGTCTTGGACGTTAACCACAAGGAGCCAAGTCCTCCATGACAGGGACAGAAAGGCAACCTCAACAAGGCCTATCCTGTCTTGAGCATTAACCACAACTGACCTAAAACATGGGAAAGAGATAGAGTGCAAGAGAGTTAAAAGATTTAGGACGAAAGTTGGAGATGGGAAGAGAAAGAGATAGGAAGGGATAGAGTGAGGAGATGACAAGAGAAGAGAGAGAGGAGTGGGAGAGGGGAACTCATCCCCCAAAACACTAAAAAGCTTTGTACTACCTTAAAAGCGAAAAAGCAGAAGGAAAAGTCTTAGAAAAAAGGTTGGAAAAAGCATCTGGGAAGAGGAGAGAGAGAGAGAGAGAGAGAGAGAGAGAGAGAGAGAGAGAAGTATATATAAGAAGAAGAAAGTAAAGTAGTATCGTACGTCGTGCGTAGGTACGTTCGTTAGTTACGTTTCCGGACCAACGAAAG